TACTTCCATAATTAGTGATAGATGACTAGTTAAATTTTTGTTCAATCAGCATGTATGTAACTTATAAATAATCAAATGCAACTAGTTTCTACCAATTTGTGAAACAAAAATCTTTATTTTTTTAAACATATCATAAAATGGTTAGTAACAAAAAGTCAATAAATATCAACATGGGATACAATATCGGAATGTTACTAATTAGCAATAGAAAGTAAATATTTTTTTTAGCAATTGATAGAATAGAAGTTATTATTTTGGATATATTGTAAAACAGATCAAGCTAACAATAAAAAAAAATTAACAACAAATAGTACTTAAATACTAACTAGATTTACAATACTGATAAACATAATCTAAAATTAGCAATTTAACTTTTTTTTCCTCTAGTACATTTTAAAATAGATTGAACATATGGTAATGCATTAAGAACTAAGTACATTCTAATGAGTGTTACGAGTCTAGCATAATGAAACTATCTAATTATCCAATCTAATTTCTTTGCTCCACCAGCATTGATTGATATCTATTGATTCGTCAAAGGAAGCTGTCTTTGCTCTTGACATGCTGCAAAATAAGGTGAAGAAGATATAATGTGTTAACAATTAAAGACAGGGCATAGTTAATCAAACCCCCAATTTGTACTTTTATATGAACTCTATGTAACCAGTGAACAACTATATAATAAATTCATTCTTACATTATGTGTATGCACGTGACAGTGTGTAATGGCTAACAACCAATTACAAATTCAAACAATAGACTAACTTTTGTAAATTTATGACTATGTAAGCATACATAACATATAGCACTACTCCATGCCCACGAACAACATGTACACTCCACAGAAAAATGCTAATATCAACTATACCAAAGTTTCTAGAATACATTCCAACTCATGTAACTACATTTTGCTATGCTATATCTAATCTCCCTTTTACAAATATACATAGCCAAGTAACTAACGCCTAATATGATATATATTTTTGTAAACTGATTGTACCTTATAGATCATCCTGTGTAAGGTGCTCACAAACAAACTAGTACTATTCATACAAATAAAATTACATATCTATTATAGAGAGATGCATAAGTTGATTAAAGGGCCAATGACCATTTCAAAGTTATGCGCAACATTGCATTACTTTTATAGATATACACAGTCAAGTAACTAACATCTAAGATGTTGTACATTTTTGTAAATTGATTGTACCTCATAGATCACCCCGTGTAAGGTGCTTATAGGCAAATTAGTATTAGCCATACAAATAAAATTACACACCTATTGCAACCTACAAGGAGATGCACAAGTGGGTCAAACCATCAATAACCATTCCAAATGTATGCATATCATTGCACTATGCATGTGGTTGTGATGACTAATTGCAATATGCATGTGGATAAATAACTGCATGTTCAACAAATTCTATGCATCGTACTTAGTCGGCTACATGGTGTACAATATTTCAACCAGATTATACATTCACTAAGTATTTATATACATGCTACTTATTGAAGTAAACTACAATGTATGCATGAAAATTTATTGGCCGATGTTACAATGCTAACATTGTTCTTGTGGCTAGTTGGATGTGATTCCTATGTCTTCTGGTAGTAGCGGCAGTAATAAACTAGCCTAAACAATAAACGAATCATTGTCAATTAAACAAAACAAAGGAGGGCGCTATATAAGCATAGGAATGGTACTCAAATCTTTTTCAACAAGTTACAATTATAGGTTATTTGGACTAATAGGGGGATTGCATAGCTTGCTTTTTCATGTACGTTTGGTGGAATTGCCAAAGAGGTATGAGCTTTTCACAAAATGCAGCAAAAATATTATGAGTGAAAAAAGTTCATTTACAACTACTTATCAGACTTAACAAGTACCTTCGATGATTGTAAAGAAAGCTATGTCGCACTTGTGACAAAACTATATTTGTTGTAAAATTTATAGGCATTATCTTCTGTGTCAAACTCCATTCCTAATTGTGGAGTTCCATCTTTTGTCCACTTGCTTCTTTCCACAAATCCAATTCCTGAAAATCACCATATGTACGTTAGTTACCACAATGTGACCTATTTAGTATACAAGTTGTGCAAAAAGGTTTTACAGGGTTATTAATTACATATAGGGCATGGCTAATCAAATGCCAATTGTACACCTATATGAACTCCATGTAGCCAACGAATAACAGTATAGTAAATGTGAGAACTCGAAAATTATTTTATATTTTCTCTTATTTTTGGAAAAATTTAATTTATATTTTCTTTTAGTTTGCTTTATTAACCTTAAATTTCATGGTGAATTTAAAGGTTAAGTCAAGATTTTTCTCTTTTCCCTTTTATAATTTTGATGCATCTTAAGTTTTATAGAGTATTATGGAAGTTTGACTGACTAGTGAGATGTACGCATTTTATTTGGTGGATGAGAACGAGTGTAGTGCAGGAGGAATTATGTGATTAGAAGTGTTAAGAATTAATTGGAGAAGTATAATAGATGATTCGAAACACAAGAGAGACAAAGAGATAAGTATTACCTTAGTGATGCCAAGTGTCGCTGATCCAAGCATGCCTTGACCAAGACTTTCCTTTAGTCTTTATCATGCAATTTCACAACACAAGTCTTTCATTTTCTCTTGCGAAGGCTGAAATTGAGAGAGAAAAGAAGAGAGAAAAACTTCCAAAGTTCATCTCGATTTCCTTGCTTGATTTGTGAAAAAAAAATCCAAAGATCAACCTAATCCACTCCGATAACCCTTGAGTTAAGCTTGGAGGTGAGCCTTTGGTGGAGTTATTTGAGGAAAAAAACTCTTGAGTTGTTTGTCATCTTGGGGTTTTGAGGTAAAATTTCTAGAAAACATCTCTTTTTACTTGTCTCTTGAGATTTATGCAAGATATGTTATGATTGGAGTTAAAGGAAGCATGTTTATGGTAATTACATGGTTTTGCTAGGGTTTGGTCAATTTCCAGCTTTAATGTTCAATTTTCTAACTTTGAGATGAATTTTCAGCTTTCATAAGAGATGTTCTAGCTTTGATATGAAATTTAAACTTTGATATGTGATTTTAGTCTTGGTATGTAAATTTTCAACTTTGAGAGGCAAAATTCCAGCCTTGATGTAGTTACTTGAAGCTTTATATGTATGTGGAGTTGTGATGGATTTTCTTGCCAAGAACATAAGTCATAAGCCTCATGACATGTTAGTTACAAGATGTAGTGCATTTTCCATGGAAATAAGTAAGAAAGTTGGAATTTTTTATGGAGATTTTGCTGGAAAATTTCTATTATGGCTGGCTGAGAGGGAGAGAAGGAATTTCAGCTTTCTTTTCAGAAAATTTGTGGTGATTTTGACATAATCTTGTTCAAGACATTTGTTAAAACCTTACTCTTCATATGTATGTTGATTTTGAGTCAAAACAAAGAGGTTTAAGAGGGAAAAAAAACCTAGTTTTCCAAACTATTTGCTTGCTGGAAATTTTCGCAGGAGGCTCTGCGCAGTTTTGAGAAATTTGCTATAACTTTGTATAGAAAAATCAGAATTGAGTTCTGTTTATTGCGTTTGAAACTAGACTCATAGAGATTCCAATGGTATAAAATTTAGGGTTTGGTTCAATTTCTATAAGTACCAGAAAATCTACAAAATTTCTTGAAAATCATGACTGTTCTGTTTCTTCACTTGTGATAGCAGTGAGTTTTGAACTGAAATTTGACTAATATATGAGTTAAATTTCATGAAGATGTCTTCTAAAGCCTCTTAGTGCTTCGAGTCTATTTTCTAACGGTGTAAGTTTTGTGATTTTTTGACCTACAAAACTCAAGTTATACCTTTTCAAAATGTCACCAAAGCTGGGAATTTTATCAAATGGATTGAGTGGGACTTGGAAAACTTTAGAAAACTTTTTTGGGTTTTAAACCTAACTTTCTTTGGTTAAATTCTACATATTTTGATTTGAAATACTTAGTGATGTGTTAACCTTAGCATGCATGAATATTTCACTTGATTTGAACTCTATAAGAACTTGATTTAAACAAGAAACCGTGGCCCTTTTGGTCTTCTAATATTAGGATTAAACCTGTAGTTTCTGTGGTTGCTAAGTGAAGCTTCGAATCTCATATTTTCTTATTATCTTGACTTTAAGTCACTAGACTCTTGATGGATTACATGATCACAGGACTTGAAAGTGTCCAAGAGGACAAACGAAGGTTGAAGGGAAATGATTGTGATCAAGTGGTGAGTGTTCCTTGCATGTTTGTGCTTTAATGACTAAGTGGAATGTTGTGTATGTTTGTTTGAGTGTTAAATGTTTTCCAATGATTGTTAAATGGATTGTCAATGGATGAGTGTATACTTTATCGCACTTGACCTAAGTGAAAGTGAATTTTCAATGATCAACTGTTTGAACATTACTTATGCATGAATGTAAGCCATGCGGTGTTGTACTATACTGCATTGGTTGAATTGGGCCCTTGCCCTTTGTTGCCAGTCGACTCGAGTCAGAAGCGGACTCGGTCAGGAGGCTAGTGATCCTGGGACAGTGTTTAGTATACTCGAGTATGACCACAAAGTTAGGTAGAGCACTGGTCAGTGAATGAAATGCAATGACTGAAATGGATGACTGAATGAAATGATCACTGAAGGAGTTTTCATTTTCAAATGTTTTCAAATGTCGGAGGTATAAGGAGAAATGAAAGGTGACTAAATGATTGAATGACTAAATGAATGGCTCCTAATGAGCATGTATCCTTTCAGTGATTGAATGTTTGCTTCTTGAATGACTGCTTATTACTGTGTAAAGTGTGTGAAGTGTTAAATGTAATATATCTGTGATTTATTGTTGGAATGCTTGTTTGGGAACTTCACTAGGCTTTCAGCTCATTTCTTTAGTTTGATTTCCTTGCAGGAGTGCAAGTCCAGAGCAACTAAGCGTGAACTAGTGTGTATTTTTTTTCCAACAAACGACAACAGATTTCATTAATATTAACACTTGATAATACAAGTATTAGTTACAAAAAGGGGATACTACCCTCATTTCTCTCATCCCTAACTCAATCAGCCATATTGGGAAGTCATTTTCCGATTCAATGCTATGCACCAGTTTAACTGCAAAATGAGCTAGTGCATGACTAATTTCATTTGTTGCTCTAGAAATAAACACAAAAGAGCACCTGTCAAAGTCTGTTCTAAGATCCTGTACATCCTCTAGAATAGTTGCAATGTTGTACTCATAGTCACTGCATCTGTTAATTTGCTCAACCACTGATTTGTAGTCTGAATGTACAATAATTTTCTTCCATCCAGCTTGCTTGGCCATCAGTAGAGCATTTCGTACTGCGAATGCCTCTTCAGTGCTCGCTGTTCCATTCCTCTGATGTACAATTCCTTTGGCTCTCATTATCTTTCCTTTCCAATTTCTTGCAATGATCCCTTGTCCGGTCCTGATCCTTTTTGCAGAGATGGCTGCATCCGTATACAAACATACCACATCTTTCTTTAATTGCTCGTTTCTTGCTTGTTGTCCACTCATATTCTGGGTTGTACTACTCTCCTGGCCTGATTCCCTTGCTTGCTCAAACTCCAACCACTCCTCTTGTGTTTTTTGTACAGTTTTGTGTGGTTCCTAATTAGCACTATAAAAAATTCTCTTCTTTCTGGCTTTCCAGATGTGCCAAAATATGTTAATGGTGAGATTAACTCTATCCTGACCTTGTTCCATCGAGAGTGATTGCATAGCTGTCACGACCCCACCTCCCCCTAAGGCGAACCAGAGGGTTCGGCGGGCCGCCTGTCCAGCTCTCGCCGGGACTCAGTCGTTCACTACAATCTTCAAACAAATACAAGATACAATCTCAAATATAAATCCAATATTCCAACATTTACATATCAAAAGCGAAGCGTCCACGCTTCCACTGCGCCACTCTGATCCTTGATACCAACTATTATACAGGAGGAAGTCCAAAGCTAGACTATTATACATCCAATCAATTCTAAACGTTCAATACAATCCCAATATGAATGATTACACAAAAGGAAATCCAAGTTCAATCCATACATGAGATAATCCATGAATAAACACTACAAGCCCTTCCTTCGCCTTGAGCCCTGTGGAGGGGAATAAAACATTTTGGGGTGAGCTAGAAGCTCAGCGAGTAACCAGTAAAATCAGTTATCAAATCAGTTTCACAATCGTTCATTTCAATAATGTCATTTCAATATGGAGTATCAATAATTCAAGAAACATTTACAATGGAAAGCGATAGTAACATTCATGAAAAGGATACATTCGTTCTCCTGTCATTTCATTGCATTTGGTTTCATTCGTTCATTCATTCACCCCGTCCCTGGCTTTTGGCCAGGCTCCACCAACCTACAAGGTAATACTCGAGTATACCGAAACGTTCACCCAAGTTCCTAGTCGCCCGACCGAGTCCGCTTCTGGCTCGAGACGACCGGTAACAAGGGGCAATGGCCAGTTCAGCCCAAAAGGCTTACATTCATGCACAATTAACATTTCAATCGCTCAATCATTAAAATTTCACAATCACTTAGGCTAAGTGCGATAAAGTACACACTCGCCTCGAAAACTCGTTTAGCAATCATTGAAAGCAAAATCAATAATAACAAGACACGGATATGCAAGCATGCATGCTATGTAAGAAAACAGTTCCAAAATTAACTTTGAAAATAGCTCAAAAGTAAATAATGCGGGAAAGCGGTTTAAGAGTAAATTTGGAAACAGTTCAAAAGTCAATAATGCAAGAAACGGTTCATAAATAATTTTAGAAAGAGTTTGAGGTCACTCACCTCCATGGCTCAGAAACCATCCATCATATAGCATTGCCTTGCTCAAATCCGAGTCTTAGATCACAACTCAAAGCAAACAAATCCCTTCAAAGTTCGGACAGCACTTCCCCTAAATTTCTTTACTTTTCCAGCCATCACGGCTTCATTATATTTCTCATTCAACCCAAAGGTACACACACAACAACAAGGTCATCCAATAGCCATTCAGCAAGCTCCAAGTAGTACCAGTCAAGCTAGGGAAAAGTCCGGAAATGAAAGTTAAACGCAAAACCAGAAAAACAGTTTTGACGTCATTTTGCGGTAATGGTACCAAAGGCGCTACGATGGTCGGATGAAGGTGCAAGACCCACCGTCTCGAAGCTAAAAGACAGGGCTACAACAATGTAGAAGGTCACTCAGTCCAAATCCTAGCACAACTAGGTCAAACATGCAGAATACTAAACCAGAACCGAGATTGCAGGTTTACAAATCACACAATGCTGTAATCAGTACAACTCAGTCTATACAGGTCCGAATGCAGAAATTCCAAAGGCATATGATAGCTATGGAATCAAGATACATTTCATCAGAAGACCTCAACACCCAAATCCAAAACAATTCCAGTCAAAACAACCAATTTCAGACGCAGTTCTTACATTCCTGATGAACCCAGAACAGCAACAGTAAAAACGGCATATCTCATTCTACACTACTCCAAATGCCCTGAAATTTTGCAGGCACTTCAAACTCATCAAAAACAATTTTCATGTTTTTGAGTAAAGTCTAATTCGGCCTCTAGACCTATGATCCAAAACCGGACAGAATTAGGGGTGATAAAACCCTAACTTTCCACAATTCAATCCAAACCCAAAATTGGTTGCAATTTCCTATCATATGCACCTACTAGAGCCATAGCCCCTTATTACCAACCATCAAAAACAACCACACCATCAAGATCACATAAAACCAGAAAATTCCTCAAAACAATAAAAACTTAACCAAATCACTTCAAACCAAGAAATAAACCACAATTTCTAACACAATAGCCACCATTAGGCATAAATTCAACATCATTAGGTGTAAGAGGATAGTCAATCACTACTTACCAAGTAAACAAGAGAGAGGAAGTTGTAGGACACCTTAGCTCCTCCAAAAAACTTCACTAAGCAACTCACTAGCACCTAATGGAAAGCTTTTATGGAGTAGAAACTAGTTGATGCAATTGGTTTGGAAGATTGAGCTAAATGGAAGCTTGAAATTTGAAGCAATTCTCTTCCTTCTTGAGCTTAAGAGAGCCGGCCATGGAGGAAGTAAAAATGAGTGAATTTTGAGCAATTTTTAAGATATTTAACCTTTTGGTCAAAAAAGTCAAAAATTGGAATAGTAACTCTTAAATCCTATCCAATGATACCATGACACTTGGCACCTCATTAATGCATTCCTATCCTTTCTTTTCTCTCTCACATCAATCATTTCACACACTCTACTTATCTCTTAACACCCGATAAATTTTACACAGTATCCGAAACTTAACCTTATTGGCCGAATGTTTCCGAACTTTCGCACTAGTGGTTCCCACGTCCAAAATACGCTTTTAATTTTCTCAAAATCTAACCGATACTAGAAAAATCATCTAAAAACTATATTTACTCATAAAAATTATCTGGGGAATTTTTCAAATAAAGAAAATGTAGAAAAGGCGGGCGTTTAAAAAAATAAACCCTAGAAAATTAGAAAATTTCCGGGTTCTCAAACTCATTTTTTTCGGGGCGTCACAATAGCTTTCTCCCACCATAGCCATAAGTTATGTTGTTCCTCCTTTAGTCCATCCCACCTTACTGGAGCCATGCGCCATACCTCTGTTGCATTTTCACAAAAAAAGAGCAAGTGTTCGATTGTTTCCACCTCTTCCCCACAGCAAATACACCTTCCCTTTCCTTTCCCCAGCCTTTTGTACATAATCTCGTTTGTAGGTAGGCAGTTTTGTAAGCATTTCCACATAAAATGTTTCAGCTTTGCCTTTACATTCAGGTGCCACAATTTCTTCCACATACTATGCTTTCTTATTTCCCAGCTAGACTCTGTATCTTGTCCTTTCTTCCTGCATTGTTTTCCTTCTGCCTGTCTAGCTATTGTATACCCCGTCTTTGCTGTGTATGTTCCAGACTTGGAGAAACACCATATCAACTTGTCCTGTCTCCTCCCAATACTCGTGGGGATGCCTTTTATCATCTCAGCATCCTTGTCACAAAACCACTTCTGGAGGAGATCAGTATTCCATTTCCCCTCTTCTATCAGCTCACTCACCCATTTCTAGCTGGCAGTCCTCAGGTTTTGATATGCTCACCTGGCCTTGGTCTGAACCAGAAATCCACTTATCTCTCCATATACTCACTGATTTTCCATCACCAATTCTTTTCCATAGTCCAGTCAGTAGCAATGTTTTTGCACTGTAAATACTTTTCCAACTCCATGAAGCTGTGTTTGTGTGAGAACCCAAAAATTTTCACATTTTCTCAGTATTATTTTATTTCTTTGCCTACATTTTATACTTTCCTTGGAAATATTAAAATTTCTATGCATTTTACAAGCAAGTATAGTTTTAAAATCATTTTTCCTAGTATAAGTTAGTGTACGTTAATTTGAAGTGCGTTGTAGATGTGGGACCATCTAGTGCGATATAATTTTGGTGACTAAGTGATTTTTGTGCTAAGTGTTATTATTATACAGGGTGCTAAAGGATAATTAGAGGTTTGTATATGATGTAACAATTGGAAGCCAAAGGATTAGAGAAAACACTAGAAGGGCCAAGTGTTGCAAACCTATTGGAGGTTGGACTTTGACCTAATTTTCACCTTTACTAAAAACCAAATTTTGACAAAAAATTTCTTCATTTTTCTTGTTTCTTGGCCGACTTTCTTGAGGGGAGAAACAAGAGAGAGCTCTTCAATTTCTTGCTTCCAAACTTGCTCAAATCTTGAGTTGTAGCCAACCAAAATTGAAATTACACCATACAAGTGCTTATTAAGGAGGTTGAAGGAGTTGGTGGATTAATTGTGGGAGGAAAGATACTAAGCTACCATTTTTTTTGAGTTTCCAAGGTATTTTGCCAAGAACCTCCTCTTTACTTCGATTAATTACTAATTAGTGGTTTAAAGTTGTAGTTTTGGTAGTTTCTGAGCATATTTCATAGTTGGAAGTAGTATTATGGAAATTTCAGTCTTAGGGTTTTTCACCTCCCTTGTTCTGACCGGTTTTGTTTGACTAGGTTAGAGACCGAATTAGGCTTAGCATAAAATATGAAAGTTGTAGAGAATGATATTTTATAGTTTCCTGAGAAATTTTAGCTCAATCGGAGCAACGTAGCCTATGAAAAGACCGAAACACCCTGACTGCTCTAGGTGAATCAAGTGAGTAGTTTTGAATATTTCACCAATCTGATCGTGTCTTTTCACCTTGATACGTACTGAAATAGCATTTACCCAAAACAAGAAAGTTGTAGTAATATATCTTAGCTTTCCAATGGCCCTGAAAAAGCCTTAATCGGACTTCGGTAGCCTGAGTTATTGTCAGTTACGTGTAGTACGGTTAACTAGCCCGAATGTGAGATTCTGGTTCTGTAAATTGAAATTTTGACTTAGATACACTACAAACTGGACTGAGTCACCTTCATCAAAGTTGTAGAAATTTGTCTTAGCTTCGAAACGGTATAAATTTGACCCCTATCCGATAAGCGTAGCTTTG